GCCAGGCCCGAGAGCCCGCCCGAGCTGGGGCGGCAGCGCGGCCGGGAGCGCCGCGGAGCCGGGGCTCTGCTGGGAACTGTCGGGCTTACTGGAAACGCGCCGGATCAGGTTCCAGATCAATGAAATCTGGGTCCACACGTTTACGTTATTGTTGCCAGCATTAATGCTCTTTTAATCTTCTAAACATTATCAGCATCGATCTCCCTCCATATACACATTTGTTTGAGAAAGTGACATAACCACACGGTGGAAAGCCTGGAATAAAAATAAATGCGCAGCCTCTGGCGTCCCGGGCGCCGGGCAGCCTGGGCCACTCCTCTCGCGCGGCCTCGCTACCCTGCCTGGCCTCCCGCCTGGCCGGGCCGCTCCCGCCCACCCTAATGCGGGTTCGGGAGGTGTTCTCCAGGCGCTCGGGGCTCGACCGAGCGAGGATAGTAGCGAGAGCTTTTCAATTATTAATCCGGGCAGCCAGCAGGCGAAAATATCGCGTGTTGCGCACTGAGGAGGGCTGCCTGTAGCCTCTCGGGCCAGGATCCCGAACTAAATCCCGAGCTAAACTGTAGTGAGAGCTGGGCTGGGCTCGGCTGGGCTGGGCTCCCTGAGGGGGGAGGTCTGCGAATGAAATCCACACCCCACTCCTTGGTTTAGGAGGTGCCGGTCGGCCTGAGCACCCTAAGACATCCCCGCTTAGGCGGAGACGCGCGCAGCGGTGCCCCTGGCAGGGGCGCTAAGCACTGCCCTGCCCTGCCCCCCGCCGCGGGGCTCAGGTGGCCCCGACGTCCGGCGGGTTGGTGAAGGGCCCTCTGCTCTCCTGAACAGAGTTGGCTCCAGATTGGCCACTGAATCTGTCCGCCGCTGGGACGGGAGGCAGGTTCCCAGCAGACCACCCGGGGGCCCGGTTACAGGATGTGTTGTCCAGGGCTCTGCTCTGTCTTGCAGGCGTTGGAGGAAAGCACTCCCGCCACTGAGGCCTCGATTTTCTTTCCTCCGTGGGGCGCCCGGCCAGGCTCTTGCCTGGGTTCTCTCCCTTTTTGTTCAGGTTTGTGCTTGGTTCAGAGGTTTTTCTTGGGCTCAAAGCTGAGAGTGTCCTGGAACTCACAGGAGGGTGTCCTCCCAGCCTCTAGCCCAGTTAGTAAGAACTGCCCTGCGCAGCCATCCCTGGGAAACCTCTGAAGAGGTCCAGTTGGGACCAGCTGCAAACATCTGCTGCCTCTGCCACCCTTTCCAAACGAAACTGTGCACTTGGAGTCCATCTTTCTGAACTCTAATGCTGGGGAAATCTTAGTTTCCCGATATCTTCTCCCTTCCCCTTGAAATGCTACCATGAGCTGTGTATACACTGAGGAGGTGGGCAGGGGGGAGAGGAAGGACCTGCTTCTGTTGTGACGGTGTGCTGCACCTAAGGGCGAGGTTTGCGGGGGAATGGCCCAAATCAGACATCTTAATTCTTAGCTCCCTCAAACCCCTGTCTGCTTGGGCCTCTGGCAAGACCCAGAGGGGCCCAAAATAAGAAAGAGAAAGGGACACTAAAAGGAGATGATAGAGAGATAGATAAATAGATAGATAAATGATAGATAGATAGATAGATAGATAGATAGATAGATAGATAGATAGATGATAGATAGGTGAAAGAAAGTGTAAGGAAGGAAGGGAGGGAGGAAGGAAGAAAGAAAGCCTGGTCAGGGGGACATGGGGGGGTATCACTTCTTCCAGGTGTAGGGCTGGGAGACAGGCCCCGCCACCCTGTGGAGCTACTAGGATTGTTTAACCCTGGAACGGGAGCCCAGCGGTGTGGGCCCTCGGTGACGGGCCGGCGGGGATTCCGATCAATACTCCTGGCCAAGAAGGCCTCAGCTTTTCTTCTCCATTTGCTCCTGTCCCCTAGCCTCCTGAGTACATAATACCTACTTACCAACCCCAGCTTCTGCGTCAGTGTCTGAAGAGACTGATCTACTGACCCCAAACTGAAAAGCCTTCTATGTAATAATAACCACTCAACATGCTTGTAGTTGCTGATAAAATGGCCAGATAAAAAGGCTAAAGCTCTTGTCCCTTTTCAACTTGGGGTAATAAAACAGACACACATTTGAATGCTTGAGCAAAGCGGGGGGTCCTCAGCAGGAATCTCCCACTTACTGAAGGAGGCTTTGTCTTCGGAGGCAGTTTAGGTGCTCTGCCTCCCAAAGGCCCCAGAGGAGTCATCCTGGAACTCTCTCAAGGTGGGTGGAGGGGCTGGGGACCCTGGATATTGTCACACTTATCCATCAACTCAGCACTTCGGGCCACTGTAAAAGCTGAGGCGGCACACGAACAGGCAAAACATTACTTGCCACATCATTTTCAGACATGCAGGCAGGAAGGCAGTGTTGTTGTTTTTAGCTCTGTCCTTTGCTCCACAGGCTTGAGGGGGCCGCCTGCTCTGAGATGGGCTGGAATAGAATAGCTGCCATTCTGCCTTTAACTGTACCCCCCAAAGACCAACTGCCAAGTTCCTTCTGGCCACCTGTGTCCAGGAAGCCAGCACGTGCTAGAGCTCT